CATCTTCCACAAAAACTACAAAAATCATACATATACACACGATTAAAAAATATGTAAATTATAATTTAAATTAGCAATATCCCCTTAATGCTCAGCTTTTAATTTGTTTATTCCGGCTCTGAATTCTAAATTAATAATCTTTTCCTGCATTGCGTCATTTCGAGACATTTTTTTTTTTTTTTTTTTTTAATGGACGGGCGCTTTAGCCTTGCGCCACTACAAAGGCCAGAAGTGGTGGCCATTTCATTATGAAAGCATCTAATAGGCAGCCACCGTCGCCTCCTATGAAGGGACGGACAGTTACAACCATGCGCCGGGCCCATCGCTAGGGCAGTCAGGGTCACTAACCACTATGCCGTGGCTTTTTAGTTTGGTTATTGGCCATTTTTATCCTAAAAATAGGAACATGTATATAATAATCTCTCTGAACTGCGTTTTTTTTAAATTAATCCTTATCATATGATTCTTATATACGTTCAAGATGCGTGTACTAAAGGGGTTATCACATTTAGCAACGATCCATCCTAGACGGGACTTTTCTGAGAAACGAGATTCTGATAGCATTGGTTTAAACGGGAGGATTCCTAGAAAAAACAGCTCCCCCGGAAGCGAACTCCCGCCTAGCTACGGAAACGATGTCCCGGCTACGCGGGATATTTTGAAACTTCGCGAAAATGTTCCATCTGCAGCTCTGTCCCGCGGAAAGATCAACCAATCAGACGAAAGTTCTGCTCCTGAAGGATCACATGATCCCAATCTGAGCGATAATCGATTACTGTTTGGCGTTCAAGTGAAAGTGGTAACCTGGCTACGTAGGTTTCGTGGAAATGTGGGGTTTCTGAGAAATGTCTCTTTCAATATTCAGTTCCGCATTGTGGAAGCATATGTGATAGGGAGTTTACATAACTCTAAAAGTCTTTCGACCAATAATAATAATACCAAAATTTGCAAACCAAATCTTAATCAACTAATGGAATTAAAAAGCGGAACCACAACTGTATTACTCTTAATGCAGCACTGTTTTGCAATAATCTATGCTCGCTTTTCCTGATTGCCTTTATCCAACTATGATGTAATCTGCAGCTGCTTATCATCTCCAATCGTAGTACTGCATGCATATGGGAAAATTATATATCTAAAATCATTGAACATCGGGTGCATCTGTCTCTATTACATATATTTCTATGCCGTATTTATAATTCAACGAAAATATAACATTTAAAATATCATAATATGTGTTTGTCTAGAACAGAAAATCTGTTATATTTTTATAACTGTACGAAACAGCTATATAAATAAGGCAGGAAGGTAAAAAAAATTTGGGAGCCTAAAAAGTTTCGCGAAGTTAGTGATCCGATTTTATCAATTAAAGTAGACTTTTTCAATTTTAGAGCAATTTTACAACCCATCTTTCTTTTAACACTTTATTTTGAAAACGTCTGCATTGTTTCGAACAATAGGATTGTTACTGACATACCTGCCGAAACAATAACTCTTAAAAAGATTGATATGTCAAGCCTCTAGATAAGTTGACTTAAATATTTCAGCGTGCACTAAGCCTAAAACACTAAGCAGTTTTACTAGATTTGAACAGAACAGACATCACTTTTATCAGTTTTCATCACACTCTTACAACTTAAAAAAATGAAGATAAGCATTTAGTATTTGTTCAAATCCGAAAGTAAACATTCAGTATGCATTAAACACTGGAGATAAGCATTTAATGCCCATTAAAAGTTGAAGATACACATTTAATAACCGTTTCAAAACAGCTTCTGAGGTGCGCAATGATTTTAGTATACTCCAAAATATTCAAATAACAACCGTAAAGAGATGATGACTTAAAAGGATACGAAGGAGCCAAGCAGTTGCTTTCTAAAAAAGCTTCTCCTCTCTACCCCCACACACTAAACGAAAAAGAAACTAAAACATACAAACTAAATCTTACACTGGAAAAGAAACTACGAAAGAAATATTTTTGGAAAGAATTATCGCATTTCATTGTGCGCGATCATATCATGTTAAGTGCCTAGCACATATTATAGGCGTAGAAAATCCATGAATCCCAGCAACGGTGCAGTTTGATTTTTCACGTTTCCCGTTGTGTCAGATCTTAGTCTCCATATTTCCGTAGATGAATCAAAATTTTAACTTTTTAATAATAAGAGAAAAAGTTTAATTCGCCGACTCCCTAGTGAACAGATGCAAATTTAGTATATCTTAAATAAGTTCGCTTAAAATTATGTCACGCAAGGAAACTTGCACCTAATAAACACCTGAACTTGGTCGAAAGATGAAGTTGACATATTTCCTGTATGATAAATAAGTGAATTGGGATCATCTGAGACTTCGGAAAATGTAGTTCACATTGTAGTGCAAAAGGGATGAAATCATCTTTCGATCGTCACAACACTTCCAGTCTCACGGTCATCGTCACAACACTCCCAGTCTCACGGTCATCGTCATAACACTCACAGTCTCATGGTCATCGTCACAACACTCCCAGTCTCACGGTCATCGTCATAACACTCTCACGGTCATCGTCATAACACTCTCACGGTCATCGTCATAACCCTCCCAGCCTCACGGTCATCGTCACAACACTCCCAGTCTTCATGGTCAAACTAGCTATGGAGTTCTTAGGGCAGAGATAAATCACAGCTAAGTCACAACCACTTTATTCGCTGGATCTCTTGTCTAGTGGCTTCTGGTTGTTCTTGCTTGTCGAGATGGTCTGCAACAGTAATCTCAAACTCAAACTGCATGTGGGCTAAATGCTCGATCTGGGAGCAGCTACGAACCAGATCATATTTTAAAAAAAAATTTAAACACTTTTAATAAATCAAAAGACAAAATAATAGTAATAATAATATTGAACTTTAAATTTCCCTGACCTGATATTTATCAAAATGTAATAAAAAATAATAATTATAACACAAAAGAAAAAATTCCAATTTAAATTCCAATTTTTGCGAAATTTATTTTCTGCCTGAAACCTAAAGATTGGTACTTGCAAGAAATTTCTATTGGTTATATTTTGTAATTCAAATGCACTGACAGCTAAATATTAAATTTTAGATTGACATTTATTTCAGGTAATTCCAATATGTTGAATTATCCTCTAAATAACTCGTTTTTAACTTTAATCGGAAATTTCAGAATACTGAAGTGCCACCATCTGTTGGCTAGCAAACTAAATTTACTGACTGTAAAACAATGAGAAAGTCCTCCATATTGCCCCAGTCACGAGCCTGACGTACAAGAATATAGTGACAAAGCCTAACCCTATTCATTCTTTTTTTTTTCAATAACAGTCGCGCATATGAAGCTCAGTTCATATCTCTGTCTCTAAAAACACAAGCACCGTATTAGCAGCAAATACATAATTAAAATGGATTTGCGGGCCGCATAAAATTGCTTGAAAGCCTGAAGCCCACGTGCCACAAACTTCAGACCACAATGTTTTCAGGCAATTCAAGCTATTAAACATGATGTGACGAATATTCGCATCAATCTTAAATACACTGGCTTCCAAAAGCTAAGCAATCAATGAAAATTAGCAATTTTCGAAAGCGTAGTTAAATTTGAGCGTCTGTAAATCACTGCCACTATAGATGGCAGTATGCAAATATTAAGTTATAGCCAATCATGATTGCTTGTCCGAACATATGCTAATTAGACAGTCCTTGAAGACCATTCTAAAGAGTTTGAGAAGGTTCATTTAAATGCTGATACGAAATGTTTATAATTTTCGTAAGACAATGTTTGAAAATATTTGCCCTTTTATATTTGAAAGAAGACGAATAGCTTTTCGGTTTTTGATCTGAAATGAACCAGGAGAACGAAACAGGTTTTCTAAACATATTAATCGACTTTTATGAAGCTTTAATTCATTTTTCCCTGAGGAGTTCTGAGTTGAAGTTTCAGTAAAAGGAGATTAATTTTTATATTTTTATCTTGTATATTTTTTTTTTTTTTTATTTTTTTTTTTTTTTTTCTTTTTTTTTTTTTTTTTTTTTTTTTTTTTTTTTTTTTTTATGACTCCAATGTTTAACTCCAGATGCTTTAAGTTTATATATATATATTTGGTTCGGCCGATCGGAACCAAAAAGGGAGGTGCACAACCGCACGTTAAAGCAGTTCTATATGCAAAATTTCAACATTCTGAGAACACTCTTTTTTAAGTTATGCGAGATACATACATACGCACATACAAGACGCCACGAAAAAATCTCTTCTGAATCCATTTTATATCAGTTTTATAATTCGTTTGGATAAAAAGAGTACTTTATTTTGTCCTTACGTACAGATGTCACACAAAAACATCGTTAAATTGCATTCGATAGCGGTCAAAAAGGATAGTTTCGTTGAAATACGATACCCGGTTTCGTTCATTACAATACTTCCTTTACTTCGTACAAGGAAGTAAAAATACGATCAAAATTCATAAATAAAATTTTTTAAAAAAATCGGATTTTAATCGTTTCGTTTCTATAAAGTAAATCATTACGATTAGTTCGTTGCATAAGAAATAGAAGTCGACATTTTATATGCTGTTTTTTATTTATCGCATTTATTGTGTAAAATAACACTTGTTGCAAAACGTTATTAAGAAATACACATAAAATTATTTTTAAATGATTCTACTTTTATATGCAGGTAAAAAAAGTACTTTTGCGTTAGAGGAAATGAATGAAAAACCTGAGGCCTCGTCCAATGGTATTGACTTCTGAACTTTATTTATAGCGAATAAATTCAGCTAAAAGAAAATAGTAACACACCATGGAAATGTTCAAACCAGTATGAAAAAACAGCTCACTAGAGCATTTTAATCATTCTTGCATAGTTATTTCGGATATAACTTCCACTGACCTTTACAATACCCATTTGCAACACATATACGCTCCCTGAGACACAAAGCTATGCCTCCGAATATCTCGGCAAAGAGTTTAAACTCTGAAGCTCGTCAAATTGAGCTCAACGTACGCCTTGACCTGTGGAGCGTTAAGTCTTTAAAGCCAGGCAAGACCTGACTGCCTAGTGCAATTGCAGGTTGGGCATCTCCTGATACAGACCTCTTCCTTTTTTTAGTATCACCACCTTCTACCACCGAAGGAAGGTTCTCTTCACTTCGCAGGCTTCAGACGCAAACGAAAGGTACATTTTTTTATGAAAACTATTTTTGTTTCAAAGAATTACTTTATAAAACATTTCCGAACATTCGAACATTTTCTCATAACTGGGAAACTATAATATTTTTAGAAACAGTATTAATATTATTTATCAAGTACTATTTTCAATACGAAATTATAAGTTATTAAGAAATGATAAAATATGTGGAATGTATTATAAAACTATGCAGAATATACCATGTTCGATAAGAGAACTTTTTTGGAAGCTAACGTATTTTATACAAAAATAATTTTTTAATGTTGTTTTGCATTCTGTAACCAATTAAGAAGTTTTTATTAAAGAAATATTAAGTGAAATATATACCAAACTCGTTTTTAAGAAACTAACAATTACATATATTTTAACAAATAAATTTATCTTTAAAGAAAAAATAAAAAAAATTAAGTACATAATTTTTCATTTGTTATATCTCTCGTTTTGTTACATTAATATATGCATCATCATAACTTGAAAGACGAACTCCGGAAAAACTGTGAACAATTCTCAGCAAAGAGCACTTTGCCAGTCCATGTAACGAATTAATATTCTGGGCAATATAACTTACAGTACGGTAATATTAAGAGAAATAGAAAAGATACACTATAAACAGATAGAATACCAAAAGAGGCGGGTGAAAAATTAACGTTATTGGGGGAAAGGAGTCTATTTTATTATTGAAAAACAGAAAAATTATTAAAAAGGGAAAAAAAAAAAGATCAGAAATAGGTGATTTAAAGCTCTTCGAAAGATTATTTTTTTCAATTAGCGATGGATCTTTCTTGTTATAAAAGTATTAGAAATACAAGAACACACTCTTTGCCATTCGGCGATGCTTCTTCAACATACGAAGATAACAGTTATTTTATTTGGACTTCTCAATAACATTTTGCAATAAGTGGTATTTTTTATACATAAGTGTGACAAATAAAATACGTGCATCCAAAATAAAACTGACTGATAATGCGGGAAATTTTGAAGAAACGCCATAGATCAGGCGTTCGGCAACCTTTTCTTTTTGCTAGTTAAAATCAACCAAAATGCCGCTATTTAATAAAACGTTTCGGGTGAGTTGTATTTTCATTTTAGAATAATCTATTTTTGATGAAATAAGATACATTTTATTGAGAAAATAATTACAATACGTTTTAAATATAAAAATTCAAATTCTAATTATTATTAAAACAAAATAACTGAATGAACTTAATTTTTCTCTTCCATATCAAATCTATGGCTTCTGATGCTGAACATGTGACGTCAGTTTAGTCAACTCTTGATCAGTCGTCTTAAATCGAATACAAGCATCTGAATTTTCGGTAGTTAAAGTGCTCTTGTTCTTACTTAAAATAAATACAGTGTCTCAAAAAAGTGATGGGACACTTGTGCTTTACAAAAGGAAACTGTAGTAAAATAAATTTAAAAAACAGTAAAAAAAATTTTGTGGGTGTGTTTCATACTTAAATTTATTAACAATTATTACATAACATACATTTTCTCAAAATATTAAAATATTAATTTAAAAAATGCAATTGTTTAGAACGGAGCAAAAAAATAGCACACATAAGTGAGGGACACTTACTTTTCCATCAAATATTTATCCCAAAAATTTTACTTTTTAAAAGGTTTTAATATTTTGTTTGGATTTCCTTTTTCCTTTTAAACATGATTTAATTCTTCTTGGGAGGGATTCCACTAATTTTTTTTTTGTGATTTCTGGGGTGATTTTACCCCATTCTTCTTGAAGCACCGATTTTTAATTTGTTGTTTTGAAGAAATGGTGTGTTTGCGAATTCTTGATTCCAATTCTGCCAAATATTCTCTATGGGATTTAAGGTCTGGAGATTGTGGTGGTGTTTTTTTATTATTTCAGGACAGTTATACAGCAGCCAGAGTCTAACGTTCAAAGCAGTGTGCTTGGGGGGTCATTGTCCTGGTAGAATTTAAAATCGTTACGAAGGATCAATTTTCGTGCTGAAGATTTCAATTTTGATTTAAAATGTCAATATACTTGTACTGATCCATTTTACTGTCAATAAAAACAAGATTACCAACTCCAGCGGACGACATACACCCCCATACTCCTCCTCCACCATGTTTTACTGTTCGCACCAAGTTCTGCTTGCGAAATTCTTCCTGGGTTTTCTTCACACCAAGATTCTACCGTCAGAACCAAATATATTAAATTTACTCTCATCAGCAAATATAACTTCATTCCAGTAATCAGAGTTCTTATTTATGTTGGATTTTGTCTGAGTTTTCTATATTCTTTTCACTTACGAAGAATTTTTTTCCTGGCTGCTCTCCTGTTTCCCTGCTCCTGCTGCTCCAATCGAATTATCTTCTAATAGTCTCAGGATAAATTATTGCCAATTGCTTTTGAGTAAAAATAATACCCCAAAGATATTTTTTATTGCTTACTTTCAGACGATTTTTGTTGCATAGTACGTAATGTGCCATCACTTCTGTTGAGCCATTTTTGCTCCGTTCTAAACAATTGGTATTTTTATTAAATTAATATTTTTAATATTTGAAAAAATGTATGTTATGTAATAATTGTTACTAAATTTAAGTATGAAACACACCCACAAAAAATTTTTACATGTTTTTTTAATTTATTTTATTACAGTTTCTTTTTGTAAAGCACAAGTGTCCCATCACTTTTTTGAGACACTGTATATGAAAATATTTGGTCACATTTGTAAGTTGAACCGAATGCGCACAAAATGGCAAAGGCAGTTTTTCGGCATTCTGGATAAGGGATCGCCGTTGCCAAACTTATCGATTTCTCCTTGAAATTATGTTACAATTTTTAGTCCAAAGGGGCTTTGTCCCTGAAGGACTCTTGTTTTCGTTTCGCGATTTTGCGTTTAAAAGGCTGTATCACATTTCAGGCTTTTGCCACCAAATACTATCGCTCTGTATTATATTTGAAGAAACTGAATAATGAAGAATCTGCATAAATGTATGTATCTTTCACGCATCGTGATAAAACAACGGTAACTAGTGCCACCCAATTTTGAATGACGTAATCTTACTGCGAATACGGGCAAGTGAAAGCCTAAATTTGAAATTTGGGATTTGTTTTATTGCCGATTTCATATTTCGTAAAATTTTAACGAATTTTTGATTAACAAACTCAACGATTTAAGAGCGAGCAATGGCAACACTCTACGGAGGGGGGGGGGACTTTTTTGTCTCCAGCGCTAGGAACTGCGTATCAGAAATTCTAAAGATAAGCTCATTTTAAAATCATTTTGCGACACTGCTGTTGAACTAAATTTTATGGTTTAAGTGCAAAGAACATGATATTTAATAAATAAAGGTAACACACAAAACGTTAAAAAACGCCCTTTGGACATAATTTAAAATCTGAAACTTTTCAGATTTTATTTATTCTTTTATTTTTTAAAAAAGTAAAAATACAAAAATGCATGCTCGTTACTGCAATTTTTGTAACAAAGATGTTATTGTTGTTATTTAGTTTCAATTTATCTTTTTATGCATTCTTCAAGTGCTCGTTTCATATTTATGTTTTTTAACTTATTTTTATGTATTACATAAAATTTTCGGAATTCAAGTAGATCACTTGAAATTATGAAATGGGTCATTCGGTGACCCGCAGGTCACAGGTTGACAAGGTCTGCCATAATAGATCGTAATCTTCTCTGTATATTTCTTTTCTGTTCTCCTCTCCGTTTCAATGGTTTGTTTAAACTGAAATTAATATTTCTCATATTTTGATATTTTCCCGTTCTTAATTAAGTCATTTTAATTTCAAAAACAAAAATCAGAAGCAAATCTCATAGATTTAAAAATTCAAATTCGTTTTGAGTTGAATTTTGCTTATTAGTAAAAATTCAGTTCTGCGAGCTTCTAACAAATAGAGCATACTATTTTAATTAAAGAACCTAAGAGAAATATTTGTGAGACTTTTACGACTTTTACATTTTCTAATAGTTAAAAAAAATTAATTGTGAACTCTTCTTTGAGGTACTAACCTCTAATGCGTAGTTTTCAGACTGTACGTTTTTTCACTCTTTCTCTCCGAATCAAACTTTTCACAGTACTTTTCACTGTACTTTTTCACTGTATTTTTTTCATAGAAATTCTGCCTGCAGTCAGCAAGACATTTAAGGAATTTTCATACAGGAGTATAAAAGTATGAATACTTAGCAGCTGACTGACAGTCTTCAGCTGATACATTAACGAAAACTATCAAATGGTCCGGCATCCAAATTGGCGGATGTGTGCCAACGGATTGAGGATAAACATTAATTTTAAAAAGTTGAATCAACACTTTTAGTGGTCCAGAAGACGATATATTAATGAAAGGGGTAGAAACTATTAAGTATTACCACTGAATGAAAATAAGATCTTTAATTTATCTTCCATCAGCATAGACAGTTCTCGGTTTGCCGAGAAAAGATGTAAAGAAGAAAGTACAAAATCTTTTGTTTATCTTTTCCCTTTCAATAAGACTGTTGTTGATTAACAAATTCAGCAATTTATAAGCTATGTTCTGCAACTGCATAAAGCAAAAGTCCTTCAATTTATCTTGCATGTGCCCTCACATTAGTCGATTCTCAGTGCTGATATTCAGCAAAGCACGCAATCATTAATACAGCTTTCATATTTTAATCAGTCTACATTCATTAACAAATTGACTGCTTGAAAAGCCGTAAATACTGTTTTCGATAGCTTCAATTTTTATTTTACTATATTAATAATATATCAGACTGATATAAATTAAAATACATTTAATTTATAATACATCAACTAATAATTTTATGACATTTTCAACTTTGTTATAATTAATAAAAGATGCGTCTAATGCCATTTATTACGTTCACAATTACATAATCTTTATCAATGATAGTTTACAATCTTAATGTTTCGATGCCTTTTTTAAAATTTCTTACAATTTTTTTATCATAAAATCGTTTTTGAAATATTGTCTGTTATTTGAAATTTTTAGATTCCGGTTTTACCTTAATTATGGATTATGTCTTAAACTGATAGCATTTTAAACTCGAAAAAATACAGACGCATCCACGTATTATAACCGTAGTTATTAGCAATTAAAAAGAAAAATATTACATTTTCTCGCAACCTCTTATTTTCGGGTTACACTTTTAAGCAGTTTTACTGAAATGATCTGAAATTTTTTTAAGCAAATGCCTTTATTAAGCAATAACAAAAAGTTTAACTGTAGTAATTATGTAATGATTCATATATGTCTCATCAATCAAGTTTCTGCATCGACAATCATAAACTCACATACATTCATTCCAAAGACTACATTCTAAGAACCTTTAATCTGTTTCTTTATAGAATGCCCCAATACAAAATCATCGACTACACATTCACTACTGCAGCAGAATTAGCGAGAGCCATCTTGGAATATGTCGGCGTATCCTATGAAGATGTTAGATATGACAAAGATAAAGCAGGAGATGCAGAGAAAGGTAAGCAGCGTACTCAATGACGTTATGATTTTTTAACAATGGCACATATTTTATTTACGGAATTCCTAGGATTTGAAACGGATTAAAATGTCATAATATTCACTCTCTATCTCTCTCTCTCTCTCTCTATATATATATATATATATATGACATTAAATTCAAAATAAGTAATTAAAAGTAAATTAAAAAGCCTAAGACTTGCGCTAAAGCAGCAAAATAATAAACCAATAATTTATAATAAGGAAACTTTCTATATACCATCTCCAAGGAACACAAATTCAATGTAAAACCATGAATAAACAAAACTTTTAGTCCGAATTTAAATTAGTATTTTAAATAGTAATTTCAATCTCCTTGTTTAAAAACATAAAAATCTGCTAAGAAAACTCTTCAATCGCAAAAATACCAAGACTAAATATTTAAGTAGTGAAAAAGTAGCTATTGTCATTGATCGCAGATTAATCGACTTATCAAGGGGATAAACCAATCGACTATCAATTTTCAACAACTAAATCAATAGAGAGTGTTTCATCTTTACTTTCAAGTAAGCATCAAATTATTTGCTAAATGCGAACCGTAAGTCACAATAAATACTCAATCCAAATAAAGACATTAGTCCATTTAAGCCAAAAAAGAATTCTGTTAAACAAAATAGCAAATAATCTTAAAATTAAAGTTTCTCGATGCAAGATGACGATACAACAAAAGATATAAATTTCAGATTTTCTTAATTTCGGTCTTTATTTTGGCATGATTCGCTTCGGATAATTTTGGTATGTTTTGTTCCGGATGTTATGTTACTAAATACCGGAAGTACAATTAGCCACTGTGCTTCCGGTATTTGATTTTTGCTTATGTTTATTCTGAATTAGATATGGGCATTATATAAAAGCTGATAAAAACTACTGCTGGGTTATATACGACAACTTGCAAATTATTGAAAAAGTTAAAACTTAAAGTTTACAATACTAACTGCTATGACTTTGAAAATCTCTGTACGTCTCTTTACCACTTAAAGAAATTTAAGTCTTCTGGAGTTCACAACATTTTTTTCCTGAAATACTTAATATATTGGATTTAAAAAATTGGAAGAAATTTCTTTTATTTCTCGCTTTACAATATATCAAACATTCAAAATTTCTTTTCCTGCAAACACAAGGTATTCCAATGGGAAGTTTCTGTTCTACTCAGCTTTGTAACTTCTTTTTGTTTTCAGAAGAGTTTAAATTTCTTAAAAGCCTTTCTGATAACATTATTTATATTTATGTCATAAATAAATAAATATATATATACCAGTGGATAGCGTGTTGCACAGCAGCATCACAGGTCCAGGGCTCGATTCCCGGGCTGGGCAAGGTTAACTCAGCCTTTCATCCCTTGAGTGGGTCGCTTGAGGACTAAACACCGGAGCTCCTGCTATAAGCTAACCACTTGTTTAGGTTATATGGTCATGCACTCCAGGGCCCAAGCCCAAGAAAGCAGATATCAGGGCACTGCAGGTCATGCCTCACTAAAGGTTCACACGAAACGGTGGTAAAAATGTTGTAACTTGTTTAAGCCGAGCTTCGTTGCTAGGTAACCAAACCTTGCTATGTCACAAAAACTAGTTCAGGGATTTTGGCAAAAAGTTCGAAGTTTTCCACTCTATGCCGACTTGGTATAAAAATCAAACAATCAGAGGGAAAGCGCGAAACTTATCAAGCGGAAAACAGAACGGGAAACCTGTTGACACATCCACGCATAAGTAAATTTAGCTTCTCTAATTGGCTTCGGCTTAAACCTTGTTTCGCAGGTGTGAACGTGATTCCCGCATTTTATGCCTTATGACTATGCCTCTTTGACATTTCTACCACCGTCTGAACGGGATCTAAGGGCTAATGTACCATTAAGTTTTACATATACAGTGAAAATCGTTTAACACGAAACTTAGGTTACTGAAATATTTTCGTGTAAAAGGGTATTGGAAAAAAAAAAAAAAAAAATAGAGTACATTTCATTTACATAGATATGTATATATGTATGTATTTAATAAAAATCAATGAAACAAAAACATCCACTAGAACTTAATTTAATACAAAATTTTCAAGTTTTTTGAAAAACAAAATATTTTTTGAGGTTTTGGAAAAATAAGCTGAAATTTTAATTAGAGCTGTCTTTTTTAGCATCAAATTGTCAACAAATTGTTATTCATTTCACCATTGGAATGTGCATCTAAATAACTGCGCTTACTTTTCATGATGTTCCTCATTTCAAATGACGTGGGAACAGGAGCTGCATTATTCATTTCATTTTCGTCGTCGGAATCTGCATCAATGATATTTTTTTTAGCTTTGGACAAACTCCAAAATGTCTTTGTTTGCCATAATTCAGACTGTACACACATTATCATCATTTACCGCAACGAATTCTTCTGATGATACAGTAGGATAGTCTAATAATACAGAAACTTTCTCAAACAATTTCATTAAATTGGCTTAATTTCAATATCCTCCTCCTCCATTTCTTTGGATCAAACTCACTGTCAAACGTGACCAAACTCAATGATTTTTTTACACACACTACAATATACTCGTCACCAAAAGCTAACTGAGGAGAGATGAGATGTTTTTGTGTGGCGTATTTCAAAGCCAAGCCTTTCTACGAAACATGCGAAACCACATTTCTTTCATTTCACACTTCTCTTAAATCTCACCGGTGATGCTGGTGTTTTCCATATTTTGTTTATTCCCAGAAAGGAAAATTTTTTCGTGTTAAGCGATGTTCGTTTCATGTTAAAAGAAGAACAATGCATGAAAATACATAGTAGTTTGTCGGGACTACTGCATTATTTGTATTAATTGTATTAATTGATATTTGGTCTTAAGCGTTTTCGCGTCATACATATTTCACTGTATATATATATATATATATATATATAAAATAAAATAAATAATCTGTTTTAGCTGGCGTACATCGTATCAACGGCATTTCCATACCTGGAAGTAATCTTTTGTAAGCTTCTTTTGAGCAAGCAACTCATAACACATTCCTTTTTCTTAATTTTATCATCATCCCAATTTTATTATATTTCAGTTATTATTATAATTATTTCACTCACCCAATCCTTTGCAAAAGCATCTTTTAAAGAGCTTATCAGTCGGAGAAATAAACTACAGTCATTGTGGCTGCAGAAGACGTTACTTTTCACCAAAAACTGCAGAGCCAGAAACGTAGTGCCCATTTTACCCCATTTCAAAATCCCCTTTATTTCCCACACTGGCTTTGAACGCAATCAGTCCTTCTCATTAAAAGCTTTGACTCAATACACGATTTGCTAACGAGCAATCGTTTGATATCCGAAAAACGTGAGAATCATGATTTGTACATTCGTTACCTTTAAATACTACATTATTTTACCTACTATTCATGACTGAGAGGAATTATTAGGTTAAGATTTAAGATTTACCAGTGAACATTAATAGTTCGAAGAGGTAGTAGTTCAAACTTGGACAAAAGAGACAGTTACATGGATATTTTCGTGGTTTCCAAAAACCAGGATCTTCAGAAAGAAATCCTTGCCTTTAAGAAAATAGTCTCAGTGTGTTTTGCCATTAACGCATAAGCAGCTACGTTTTTTTGGCCATCCATCACATTTAACTGAAATGCTTTCAAGGGAAGCAAAGTCGAAGGTAATGAATGGCAAGTTATCGACCGTCATCAATTCTAATTGAAGTTTTGCTTTCAGTTGCTGAAAACACATGGATGCTTCAAAACATCTTCTCTGAAGCATGGTTAGGGGAAAATTAGAGTTTTTCTCCTGCCGGCTTTTCAAATTCGACTCACAGATGTACACCACTTAATAGTTTTAAACTCTTTAGAAAACAAAAATTAATTACAAAGATGAGTAGAATAGAAACTTCCCATTGGAATACCTTGTGTTTGCAGGAAAAGAAATTTTGAATGTTTGATATAGTTATTGTAAAGCGAGAAATGTAGAAATTTCTTCCATTTTTTGTAAATCCAATATATTAAGTATTTCGGGAAAAAATCTTCTTAACTCCAGAAAACTTTCGTAAATTTAAATGGTAGAGACGAGTAGATATTAAAATTCATTGTGAAAATGTTAATCAAGTAACAAGAACACAATAAAATTTGAAAGAAGTGGTTGATCAAAATGAAATCAATCCTTGAACATAGTGATCATTTGAATACCATTCTCCATAACCTCAAATGTTACTTTTCAGTTTATTAGCAGTTAACTGACAAGTCTCAAATTTTATGCCCTGAGCTGTTTTATTTTCAGTAAATGTTTTCATGAGTTTCTCTGATTTTCACAGCAGGTGTCCTGATGCACAGCAAGAAATTTGCTCTATATTTTGAAATGTTTCAGAGATCACCTATCATTCACACCGAATAAATGACTGATTCGATAGAATACGATCCTTGGAATGCATCAATTCCTTCTTTCAATTAGTATTAAAAAAATTCATTACAATTCAGTTCAATGTTTAATTTTTATTTTGACATTAGAAACGTCGTTGAAGACGTCTTCTTTTTAGCACTGTTACGGTCAATTACATTACGCTATACCATCATACATTATTATTCATTGCACTATTCATAATCATCCACACACCTATGTTGCCAATACGCGAAGCAAGTGCTGCCATCGAAATGTTTAATTTATCTTCTGCGGCCTCGCAAGCCGCCCGTTTCTCAGAGTGCCGTCATTCTGCGAAACATAAGATCTGTAATTTATTTTTCAAATTTAACCAATCGATAATTACTTAACAAACTGAGAAATTTAAAAACAATAACCGCACTTTTTAATATGCTTGTGTTTTCAGTATATAACTGATATAATGTAAAATATGTTTAATTTAATAAAAAAGACGAAATGATCCCGTACCAGGCGCATAATATACAGCGTTAGAAATATCACTTGTTAATTATGGTGTTTTGTACTTACCAAACACCATAATTAACAAGTTCATAAAAATTATCTACTGATTATCTAAACT